ACACACACACACACGCACGCACGCACGCACGCACGCACTTATTTTAATCTTTGTTAATAAAATACAATGTTTTAAAGTAGACATTGCACTTTCTTACTCCTTCATTATTGCATTATTTTATAGATAAATACTATATATTCTCGATCTCATTGATCTCAATGCAAAGTCGACTGCAAACTATAGCAACAGCGATACAATGTATTTAAGAGAAGTACTGATTTTTTAATTTTAAATAGTACCTTATGAGAAAAATTAACACAGAAGAATTCAAATTCACAAAATTATATAAATTAATATGAAAAAAAGACGTACCCTGACCAGCGCCGGTCACAAGGATGCGTTTTCCTTCGAAGATAATGTTCATGATTGTCGAGCGATTACTGACTCTGACTCGTATAGCGATATATGTATATTACATCCCCCCCCCACATGATCTCTGATATGCTGATAACTTGATGCTCTTTCCAGTAAGCATATGTGAGAATGGAATTTATAAGAGCGTCAATGCGCATATTGAGAGGGAGACAGTTAATGCGACCATATTACGATAATAAAGCACACTTCGATAAACCTATATCTATTTTTACATGGCATTAGCCTGATACGTTGTTTTCTGCTCCCATATAGAACATAAAGTTCCTATAACGTTGTAAAAATGTTTAAATGTTCACAGAAAGTAATGGAAAAAAAATAACGTTTTACCTTACAATATTGTTTTTAAATGTAATCTAAACATGGCATATAACGATTGTAGAAATATGATATACTTTTGGCTGCGTTCCATTGCATGCATAATGCCAAACACAGTGTCAAACAAGGATAAAATGATATCTCAAGCAACGGAACGCAGCCTTTATCATGCCGTAACGCATTCAAATGTTTTCCGTTGCAGTATTCGCTTCAGAACCGTAAGTTTGTGTGTATGTACATACATACATACATATCTGTTCCACGACTATTTAATTTTTAAAGTAAATTTAAAGAGAAAATTCTCTCGAATCTGTGTACATAAAGAAAGTTACAAAGCATACTTTCACGAAAAATTTTAGACAATATATTGTATGCCTCGTATAGGAACCATCTGAGGATTTTAATTGAAATATTTAGATGTTATAAGGAAGTCTTACAACGTGTTTTCTAACGTTGTCCTAACATTAGCTAACGTTTTCATTTTTTATATGTACAACGTTGTATAGACTTTATGTTCTATACGGCTTTTTTCTTCAATGGAGATAACATTCCTGTATACAAATCAAATTCCTGTATACATTCCTGTATATCTCAAATCTTTTCTCTTTTTCTTTTCAACGTGAAGAGAGAAGGAAGAAAGATGAATTGTGCAAAAACTTTATTTAAAAAGAACAGATCTAATGATAAACGCTATAAGTGCTCTTTTTTGAGATGAATTTCGTACGGTTCTGCACAAATTCTAAATGCGGCTATTTAAACATTTGCATTGCGATAATTTTTAAGTAACTAGCTCGAAAGATCAAAAGATAGGCCCTCCACCACATCCCCACTGATTTTTGACGGCGATTCTCTTTTTTATTTTAAACACCAAGTTACATGTAACAACATAATTGTAATGTAACATATTATGTTACAATTACATTATGTGGCAAATTATACCTAAGAGGTACATTATGTGTAACTTTGTGCTTGCTAAATTTGAATGTTTTTATGTTTACATACAATTTATTATTTTTTATGCAATGTATTTTAATACTGAAATATAGAACACAAAAAACAATATAATAAAATGTAATACAATATAAAATAGAATTAAATCCCTTCACATAAAATATAAAATATGTACATAAAATATAAAATACATAAATTGGTACACGTTTATAACATTTTCGCTTACACATTTTGTTTCACAAGATGTCTCATATATTTACAAAATACATATAATGACACAAAATGATCGCACATGATTTATGAAAGTCTGAACTCTGGATCTGGGATAAGAATCATTACATTTTCATTTGGTAAATGTTTTAAATAATACAATGCTTATTAATAAACGAAAACCACCTAATATAGAAATAAAAGTCGCTAAATTTTAAGAAATTTGAAACCAAATATTCAGATGAGTTAATTTAATGAAATTTGTCTTACAGTACGCATCTGCAAAAATGGAAATATACGAAATTATGTCTTTTTTTATTGGCATAACTGTATGTTTGGTAAAAACGGGCTGACTATAACATTGTGTGTAAGTAATAAACACGATTTTGGCGCAAACCATTTTACTCAATTTAATCAACAATCTACAGTAAAAAAAAAATGGTTGGGTTAGCTTATTGACAATCGATCCCGTGTGACAACCGACTGCAAAACCCCGATCTCCCTGAATATAACGGTAATATTATTTTATACATTTATATTTATATTACTCGTTTCATCTTTCATCAAGTATTACAAAAACAGATGAAACATCGTATTAAACTCATTAAATGATATCTTGATATATTAGCTTCTTTTCTCTCCATCGTTTTACGATTTATCACAAAATTGTCCAAGGTCGGTCTTTTTTAGTTTGAAATTGAAATGTGTCGGTATTCACGTACCGTTCCCACTCCTCACTTCATTGCTGTTTTGTCGTAGCGCGTGATGCTCGATCTCATGAACGACACATAGTCCGAAATCGTTAAAAGTTTTTGACCTGTGTCTTTCACTATCTCCTTACTTCATTGCTGTTTTGTCATAGCATGCGACGCTTGGTCTCAGGGACGACACTAGATTGAAATCATTAAAAATTTTTAATCTATGTCTTTCACTATGTTTAAAAGTATTCTAAATACTTTTAAACATAGTGAAAGACATAGATTAAAAATTTTTAATGATTTCAATCTAGTGTCGTCCCTGAGACCAAGCGTCGCATGCTATGACAAAACAGCAATGAAGTAAGGAGTAGGAACGATAATAGGTGTGAATACCGACACATTTCGATTTTAAGCCAAAAAACATCGACTTTGGACAGCTCCGATCTATCACTATGGGTGCGTTCCGATATGCACTGCCAGCACTGGCAGCAGTGCGAATGCCGTTCCGATATATATTGGTTGTGTTCCAAAATTGTTTGCCAGCGCTGGCAGCACTGTTAATACCGTTCCAAAAATCATCGTAGCACGCTGTGGCAGTGCTGCGAGAGAGTAAAGACGTCACTAATTTTGTCGTCATTTCCTGCTGCGGCTGCTGTGGCTGAAGAGGTGAGGCAGTTACAGCACAAAGATGGCGGAAAAGATGGAGGAGTTAATTTTAATTGATGCTGAGAGTAATACTGAATTTAAAATAAATATTTTGGTAGAAGATGCTGAGAAAGCAAGAAGTAGTGAGTAGATTTATAATTTTTTTGTAGTCAGCTTTTTGTGGTCACATTTATTTATTCATACTTCGAAATAATTATATATAATTTCGGCTAATTCTGAATCCGAATCACTAGACTCTTCAGCATTAGAATCGAATGCTAATTTTATAATGGTTTCAAATAAAAATTTTTTCTGTATGGTTCTCTCCATACTTCTAGATTATTTGTTTCTTTTCACTGAAGTCGCTATACGTTAACAGCACTCAAAATATCGTTCCAAAAATGAAAGCTGCGTTTGCATGAAAAGCATGCTTACTAAAATTGGAACGCTATTGGTAGTATGCACTTATGACGACATACACGCAGCACTGGCAATCAATTTTGAAACACAGCCATTGTAGTAAACTTTGAGAGTATTATTATACGTATATGACGTCATAGATTTTGTCGTCATTTCCTACTTACATTACTGCAGCTGGCGAGGTGAAGCATTCGCAGTAGAAACATGGCGGCGTCCTTGGAAGAAATCTGTCTCATAGATGTTAAAAATAATAAGGAATATAAAATAATTGTAAACAGGTTGGATGCGGAGAAAGCACGAACAGGTATAAAGGCAATTAGTGATTACAATTGTCATAAATCTAAATATTATTTTAATTTGCAAATATAAATTTTGCTACCCAATTACTGGGAAAAGCTAAACGAGACACTGCCATACAATCTGTAGAAAGTAATACGTTACTAGTTAAAAATAATGGGGGGGTAATATTATTATATAAATAAAGGACCAATTTCCACATTTTGTAAAAATAAAGTAAATTAATTCTAAAGTTAAAATGAGGAAAATACTAATATCACAAGTTTGACAATGTTATTGAGCTAACCTATATACTTATATTTTTCTTATCACTTTAACTTGAAAGTCCATTTATATTGTTATGCCCGAGTTGTGTCGGCGCCCTATGCATGTCAGAGTCCGCCGTCTTTGAGGGAAGAAGAGCGCGTTGCCTGGCAATAAGTTGTCGTTGTTTCAACAGATTTAGAGAGAAGCCGTCAAAGCGCTCGGACGTGTCTTTTCATCCGCAATCATATATCTCGTTCGTTGTACTCTAATACGGAGTATTCTTGTGTTTCTTCTTTAATAAACGTTTCTTGTTCCTTTTGTTATACTCGTGTGCTTTATTTCGGCGGTTCAGGAGTGCGCGTTCGCGACACGAGCGGATTCCACGAGGCGGTCGTGCGGACGCATGAGACGAACACACGGACGGACATAACAATATTGTTTTTAAAAACTGTTAAAAATTAGCTCACTGTTGCAGTAAGCTAATGTTCTAAATGTGATCAGATTATATAATTAAGTGATTTTATTTTAGCAAGTACGTCTAGCGAGCACTTCAGTACTGTCGAATGCATGTCGGAAAGTACAGAAGGTGAATTAAATATTGATAAGATAAATTTGCATATCAGATATTTAAATTATTATATTCCTATTTAATTGCAGGTACACATCTATGGAATAAAGCAGAAACTACATTATTATTGCAAATATATAATGAATATAAAGATCAATTTCGTAATTGTAAAGGTACTGTAAAGCAATATTGAGAAAAAATTGCCAAAATTATACAAGAGAAAGGATATGACGTAACAGGGGTCAAATGTTCAACAAAATTTCAATCAATGAAAAGAATGTATAAAGCTATTTTAGACCACAACAAAAAGAGCGGAAATAATCGTAAGGAATGGGAGTATTTACAGGCATAGAATATTTTTCAAATTTATATTTGAATAAAAATATATGTATGCTTTTACGATGAATTTGTACATACAATATAATTTGATCGTAAATATTTCTTCTGTCGTATATTTCTTTAGATAATGCAAGAACTATTTGCTGATAAACCTTGGATACAATCCTTATCAGTGGCAGGGTCACATGTAAATGAGACAGAGAAAAAGGAGAATATATTAGAAGAAAGAGGTAAGATACAGCATTTCTTATACAGATAGTGAAATACATTACACTTTATAGTTCTATATCTAATATTTATGGTTATGGTTGTAGGTATTAAAAGAAAAAAGAAGTTAAATGCATTTATAGAAGAATATATATTAAATAATGAGGAAGAACGAAAAAGAAGAAGAGAAAGCACAAAGAAAAAATGCTTTACTTCAAAGGAATACAAGATGTAATGCAACGATTGCTAGAAAAAGAAGATAAAAGTTAGGCAAACACTGATTAAACTCAAGGTTTATCAAAATGTGATAAATAAGTGTAGGTTTTATATAAAAATAAGTTACAGTTTACGAAAGAGTTAAACTTTATTAATAGAAAAGTTATAAAATAATGTTTATGTTTTTAAAGTATATCATAGATGTTTTATCTTTTTATTTTATTTCTAAGTTAGAACAGTCGTGCTCGTTTCTGCCAATGTAGATTAAAAAGAGATTTGTAGAAAGAATGGTTTTTGCGCGCGCACGCGTGTGAGTGGATCGAGATTAAAGTTACTTTACATTGATGAAAACGACATTGAACGTTTCAAAATATTTCAAAATGTGATACATATGAAAATGTGATATATATGATAAGTAAGCTTATTATTTCATAAAAGTATGTTACAATTTACAAAAATAATTAAACTTTATTAATAGAAAAGTTACATAAAATAATGTTTGCATTTTTGAAGATATAATATAACAAACGCACATATAAACAAGAGTAAATACTTATTTCTTATTTTACTTCTAAGTTAGAACATTTATGCCCATTTCTACGTAGATTAAAATCTAGATTTCAATACAGATTAAAAAGGATGTATAGAAAGAATGGTAATACCATAGTAGTTCTTCATTTTTAGTATTAATATATGTACTTATTTGTAACGATGTTTGGTTAATGTAAACCTATATTAAATCTATATTAAAATTATTCTATTTGTATATTTAACTTATACGTAGGCTGTGCTGGAAAAGTTTCTGCAATCTAGTACTTCCAGTGGCGCCAACGCTCTGCTACTATCATATCCGTAAAATTAGACGTTTTTAACCTATAATTCAGTTGACAGTTTGTACTCAAGCCAACTAGTTTTGTTTGCATAGTATTTTAAAAGAAGTTATTTTGTGAGAAAATGGAAATTTCGTGTGAAAATTTTCGGGCAATGATTTTTAACGATTACAAATGTAATCTAATTCCGAAACAATGCATCGATCGACTTCATTTGGCTTTTTGGGGATGAAGCACCATCCAATAGGACTGTTTATAATTGGTTTGCCGAATTCCAGCGTGGACGTACCTTTCTTTGTGACGAATTCCGTGAAGGTCGTCCATCCACGTCTATTGTTGCCACTAATGTTGATGCTGTGCGTGAATGATTGAGCGAGATCGGCATATGACATACCGCGAGATTCAAGCATCCTTAGGCATTGACATGAAAGCAATACATACGATTTTGCATGATCACTTGAACGTACGGAAACTTTACAGTTTCGTTGGATCCCATACAATTTGACCGAAGCTCAAAAACAGTCTCGTGTTAAATGAAGCAAAGAAATGCTCAAGAAATTCAACCGGGGTCAGTCAAATTTGATCTAGAACATCGTTACTGGGGACGAAACATGGATCTATTCGTATAAGCCCGAAAGTAAACAACAATCCACTGTTTGGGTATTTCAAAATGAACCGAAACCAACAAAAGTTGTTCGTTCACGCAGTGCTGCCAAGCAAATGATTGCTTGTTTCTTCGGTTATACCGGACATGTGGCAACCGTGGCTTTAGAGGATCGAAGGACTGTAAATACCGATTGGTATACAACAATTTGTTTGCCAGAAGTCATAAATGAATTGCGTAGAACAAACCGAAATCGTCGCATCATCCTTCATCATGACAACGCCAGCTGTCACACAGCACGTCAAACCGTTGATTTTTTATCCAGTAAAAATGTCAAATTGATGACTCATTGTTCGTATTCACCTGATTTATTACCTAATGACTTCTTTTTGTTCCCAAACATTAAAAAAAAGATGCGTGGTTAGCGATTTGAGTCGCCTGAAGCAGCTGTTGAAACATTTCGTACACTGATTTCTGAGATTACAGCCTCAGAGTGGAAAAAATGCTTCGAAAATTGGTTCGAGCGTATGCAAACATGTATCGATCTTAAAGGCAAAAAACAATAAAGCCATTTACCGAATTTTACATGTTTTTTTTTCATATTGTTTGCAGAAACTTTTCCAGCAGCCTACGTACAAGATCAAAGAAAAATGATATATTTTCTATAATTAATACACATCTTTTTGGTATATATAATTTTAAGAAACATACAGTCTATTTTATATTTTATGAAAAAATTTTTAATTACCTAGCAAGAAATTATCATCAATTAAACGTCGAATCGACGTCGAATTAGTGTTGAAATCATCGTATCAACATCGATTCGACATCAATTCGTCTCATTTCTTGCTGGATAATATTTAATTTAAAAAAATAAAGTTTTTTTAAAAGATATTTTCCCCTGTACGAATACTTTTTGTACTCACTGTACGTATTGAAGTCCAGCAGTAGCCACCTAACATGTTTGCGTTCCTTTGATAACGTTTCTCAATTATCATCAAATCCTAGTATTCGCCATGCTCATCATTTGTTGTACTCAAATCATTTGAAAAGAATTAGATGAATGAAAAAATTAAACATTTAGCGACAAATGTGCAATATGACAATACTGTTTCATGATAATTTTTTCATAAATTCTATTTTAACAGTGTTACACTAACATACTACTTTAAAAGTTCGATTCGATTCTTTTTACAACAGATCCGAATTCAGCACTTCAAAATACTTAAAAAAGTTGTTTCCTCTTTGCACTAAAAATTGCTCAAAATTTGCGAACTATATAATGTTATTAGATTGCATTGTGTAATATGCAAATTCTATTTCATTAAAAAAATTGTTTTCAATTTATATAATATAATCTAGTTTTATTATATTAATCTATGGATATCACATTTGATCTCTTATTTATTTAAAATGAGATTAAATAATCTTGTTTTTATACTATTTTTTTTTATTTTTGTCTTTAAATATTTCAATATTTATCATTATATTTTAATATTCATGTGAATATTTACAATAATAACGCATAATACACAGTACATATTACAAATTTAGTAAAAACTAAACTAATTCTACCCGTTAAACTAAAAATATAAATATCTTATAACAGATACAATTTAAAGTACATTTGAATTTGCCGCGCTTTTAGTCGATGAGGTGGGGCTTAACATCGGAGATGATTGATTCATGATCCTCTCTTTCTAATGCATGGGTTAGCTACTAGTCTGAAGTTGCTGCTAGCAATCCATATTATATAATAAAAGGTGTAAACTTTGATTGTCTCGTGTGAAACTTATCGCTAGATTCGCGGTCTCTTCTTAGAATTATATTTAGAAAGATCGTCGCCAGTTATGAACTCACGGTATTAGATGACGATAAACAGATTCTTCTTCGAGTTTCAAAAATTTAATCTGTGATTTCGAAACTTCCGTAGCAATTTGATACCTAGTCTTTGTTCAATTAGCATTGGTTACTGGTGTTGCGTTTTACCTCCAAGGGTATGGAGTTACTACTAGGAATTGATTCAATTATTTATTCGTCTGTTGAAAGAGGAATCTACTACGATCCTTTGTCTTGAACAGACGTGGTCTCTACGTCTGAAATTTTATCGTCTCCAACTCTCCGTGGTTGATATTTAGATATGTGGTGAAAGATAAGGGAGTAGATTATCCTTTGATTCTCTCCATAAACAGTCTAAGACTGTTATTAACTACTTATGTTTCATAATTGATATCCGAGTGACGATGATCAATCTTCCACGAAAGAAAAGAATCGTGGAGTCCACAGGACGTAACTGTAGCAAATGGAATCCTCTCATAATTTTCTATTCGCGCGCTTAGTGCGCTTCCACAGACTACCCCTGCTGGACCATAGGTGGCGCTGATCCGAGATGTGGACAGAGGGGGTTACGTGCCGATATAGCCGCCATTAATATTAATATATACTGTTATCCTTTTACACACAAGCAAGTCGTCTATTTGTAATACTCAAGAATATAGATACTCTTTTCCCGATACTCGAGTCTAGATTATTCCGTTGCTTTCCTCTTATCCCCTCTTATTCCCCGGTATCAAGAACTCTGTAAGTAACATCTGGCGACCGTGTCAGGACACCGGGAGTGATTCTCTTTGAGACACGATGGATAAACTTCGGAAATTGCGATCGGTCGTGCGGGCGGCATTCACTAGAACATACACGTCGTTACGCAACGAGATCGAACGGGAAGAGCGTAACGTAGACGAAATCAAGGCGTTGTACGCATTTTTCAAGGAAAAGGCCAGTGAACTGGAAGAATTGAACGAGCAGCTGGTTCAATTAATGTAGGACTCGGAAGATATACAAGAAGACGTGATGATAAAGGAGACGAAGGGAGCCGACGAGTATCGTATCAAATACCAACAGAGGAAGGTGAGAGTTTTACGATACACCGAACCTCCGCCTCAGCGCGCCGATGTCCCCCCCGTTGCACATAACCTTCCAGGCACATCGCGAGCCAATCAAGTAATGTAAGATAAGAGATTCAAGCTTCCTAAAATTGAGTTACAGAAATTTAGCGGGGACTTGAAGGAATGGCTCCTATTTTGGAGCTTATTTAAAAATAATAATAAGATTGAAAGACCGCTAATGTTAAACATAATAATTTTAAATTAAGAAGTGCCATAACGGTCAGAACGTTAAGATGTTGAACTATTGTAAATTCATTTAAATGAATTAATTTCAGAAATGATAATTGCGTGCCGATATGGTTGTCGGACTTTCAACGCAATCAAATCTGAAAATATTAATAATCCCCCCAAATTCCCCAACTTAAAAACTGTAATAAACTTATTGCGAAAAATAATGCCTCGGCCGGGAGTCGAACCCGGATCTCTTGCATTCCGTGCGAGCGTCCTAAGCCTTTAGACTACCGAGACCTTAGCATTATTCTTCGCAATAATTTATATATATAGAGAGTTACGCATTTTCACAGCGCGCGTGTATAAACAATAATAAGATTGAAAGACCTTGATTGCATTGAAAGTCCGACAACCATATCGGCACGCAATTATCATTTCTGAAATTAATTCATTTAAATGAATTTACAATAGTTCAACATCTTAACGTTCTGACCGTTATGGCGCTTCTTAATTTAAAATTATTTAAAAATATTCACGAAGATCAAGCGATCGCCAAAAAAGATAAATTCGAGTACCTTACGCAAGCTATGGTTAAAGGTTCCAGAGCGCACGGGCTCGTCAACAGTTTTCCCCCTACCTCCGAGAACTATGACAAGGTCATTGACAGTCTCAAAAGCAGATTCGGTAAGAAAGAGCTGTTAATAGAATTATACATCCGTGAGTTACTTAACCTAGTATTAACTAACGCATCTAAAAAAGATTCTAAGATACCAATTATTGATCTTTATAAGCTAGAAACTCATTTAAGAGCTTTAGAATCGCTGGACGTCACCATGGAAATGTGTGCAGCTATGCTGTATCCCCTAGTCGAGTCATCTCTACCAGAAGAATTATTGAGAGCGTGGCAAAGACATCCTTCAGCGGCGGGTATCACAGATATGAAAGAACGTTTGACTAAGTTAATGACTTTCTTGCAGTCCGAGGTCGAAGTGGAACAACGTATAGCTTTGGCAGTCAACGGATTCAATCTAAGCACAAAGGACAACAAAGACAAAAAAGCCAAAAATTCGAAGACCGAGCCCAGTGAAATACCGACAGCGGCAGGACTTCTCAACGCTAAGGAGACACGCATTATTAAATGCATTTTCTGCAACGAGAGCCACGATAGTTCCCAGTGTGAAAAAGCAAAGAAAATGTCCATGGAAGAAAGAACAAGTATAGTGAAAGATAAGAATGCGTGCTTCTACTGTCTCAAGGTAGGTCACAGTTGCAAGAAATGTAAACACAATGTAAAGTGTGCTTGGTGCAGCAAAAAGCATGTTTTGTTAATGTGTCGCTTCATGTCTTCGAACAAGCCAAAAGCAGCTAATGATATAAAAGAGAAAACAGAAGGACAGAGTTTAGCAAATCTTTCACTAAGTCCGCGAGTATTTCTTCAAACATTACGTGTCAAATTAATGAACGCTGCAAAGAACGAGTAGTACGCGCAGTACTACGCGCAGTACTTCTCGATTCAGGTTCACATCGTTCTTATATCCTAGGACACGTGGTCAAGCAACTGGATTTCAAACAATTAGGTACACAAACAATGATGCACCTACTCTTTGGCGGTACCAAAACCGCACCTCAAGAACATAAATGTTATCGAGTTAACTTACGCTCACTGGATGACACATACGCATGCAACTTCGTGGCATTCCATCAGGACGCAATTTGCCAGAATATTTTGCAACCAGTAAAGGGAAAAAGGCAAAAAGAGTTACGACAGAAAGCTATAAACCTTTCTGATATAGGTACGGATAAGCAGCCGATATCCATATTCATAGGAGCAGACATTCTTGGTAAGTTATACACAGGAAGGACAGATTGAAGATATCATCGCTATGGAAACTAAACTCGGCTGGACTTTAATAGGAAAAGTCCCCGACGAGCGACAAGAAGACACTGCCTTGATGATCTCCGCGATGTTCTCCTCAGAAGCAAGTCCAGAAAACATGTGGAGTCTCGACGTTCTCGGCATCGAAGATCCACAATTCAAAAGTTATCAAAAGAAGAACACCACAGAGAAATTCTGATAAAATTTCAAGAAACTACCAGGATCAATTCGGCAGAGAAGTATGAAGTGATCCTGCCCTGGAAGGAGAACCACCCTCCACTCTATGAAAATCGAGAAGTAGCAGAGAAAAGACTAGAGAACACCCTAAAGAGGTTACGCGATCAAAATTTACTTTATGAATACGAGAAAATCTTCGATGAGTGGTTGAAAGAAGACATCATAGAAGTAGTTCCGGAAGCAGAAACGAGTAATTCAAGCTTCTACTTACCACATCGACCCTTTATCAAGGAAGGAAGTACAACTCGTATTCGACCGGTCTTCGATGCATCAGTTCAAGGAAAAGATCAACCATCTCTAAACCAGTGCCTAGAAACCGGACCAAACCTTATAGAACTCATTTCATCGCTGCTCTTACGATTTAGAGAGAACAAAATTGGCCTTATTGCTGATATACGGAAAACATTTTTACAAATCAGCGTAGCATTCAAGGAGCGCGACGTCATGAGATTCTTGTGGAAAAGATCGCAAGGCCCGGACGAGTTTGTAATATATCGACATTGTCGAGTAGTCTTTGGAATCGCCAGCAACCCTTTTTTACTAGGGGCTACTATTGATCTTCATTTAAAACAAACATTAAAAGAAACCGAAGACACCCACGAGAAGAGCATCATCCAAAAATTGAAACGGTCCTTCTACGTGGACAATTGTGTTACCAGCACTCATTCTGAAGAAGAAGCGATATTATTTAAAGAGAAAGCAACTTCAATTCTGGCTAAAGGTGGCTTCGACTTAAGAGGGTGGCAATATTCGAACAAACTAGGTCCCAACAAGGAGATTCCAGTACTGGGACTGTTTTGGAACGTCAGAGAAGACATGTTGATGTTATCGCCTACAACATTGTCACAGAAAACTCCAGTCAAGGTTACAAAACGAGAAATTCTATCATTTACACAAAAAATATTTGACCCTCTTGGAGTAACATGCCGAGTACAACTCAAACCTAAGTTGCTCCTTAAGAGATTGTGGAACAAGAATACCGACTGGGATGTAGAAGTCGAGAACAACGACAAAGAAGCCTTCCAGCAATGGCAACAAGAGTTAGAACATTTACGTCACCTGAAGATCCCAAGATGGGCCTTAAAGAATAGCGAAACCTTATCCCTACATCTTTTTGTAGATGCAAGTCAGACAGCTTATGGGGCGGTAATCTTCGCTAGAATCGAGCACAACAGCGAGATAGAAGTGCACTTCATACAAGCCAAATCCCGAATAGCTCCGAAAGAAAAAGCAACAATCCCAAGATTGGAACTATTAAGCGCCTCGATAGGAGCCAGGTTAATGAACAACGTGGTCAATGCCTTGAAGAATCCAGAGATCAAACAATACAGCTGAACGGATTCGTCGACGGTCTTGGCATGGATACAGAGAGAGACACAATGAGCTACGTTCGTTTGGAACAGAGTTCAAGAAATACGCCAATTAAATAATCCACAATCTTGGCGTTACGTACCAGGAGAAATGAACCCTGTAGATCTTGCTTCAAGAGGCTGCAACGCAAAACAACTTCTAGAATCTCGCTGGTGGGAAGGGCCTTCATGGCTCAAGCTCTCGCCAGAGTTATGGCCAAACTCAGATCTCATAGCAGACGAAAAATTAATAGCTAGCGAAACTAAGAAAACCACAAGAGCAAGAAAAATATATCACGATATTCAATTGATAGCCTAGGACGGGAACAATGTGAATAGGAATCATCGCAAGCGAGATTTAGTAGAGCGTCTATCAACCTCATCGAGCTACGTTCGAATTATTCGTACATTGGCGTGGATAAGAAGATTTATCAACAACAGCCGCCAAAAGAACGATTTTCGGTCTAAATCACCATTATCAACAAAGGAAGTCCAATTAGCGAAACTAATATTGCTGCGATTAGTCCAAGAAGAAAGTTTTTCAGGTGCCAACGATCCCAGACTGAACACTTTATGTGTATACACTGATGAAATGGGACTTCTAAGAACAAAGAGCTTAATTTCAAACAGACAGGACTCATTCGAGTTTCGTTATCCGATTGTGCTGAACTGCGGCCATCCAATTGTCAACAAGTTGATCGAGTTCACGCATAGAAAGTTAAATCACGCACAGACAGAAATCACAATGAATCGGTTACGTGAACAATATTCGATTATTAAGAGCAGATGCACAATCAAATCAGTTATTCAAAAGTGCATCATATGTAAAAGATACGACGCCAAGAAAATCGAGACATCGCCAGTAGCGTTACCAGAAAACCGAGTTAGAGACGCAACAACTTTCGAGATTACAGGCATAGAGATTATGCAGGCCCACTATTTCTGAAAAACGGTACCAAAGCGTGGATCTGCCTCTTTACTTGCGCAGTTTATAGAGCCATCCACCTGGAATTAGTAACATCCTTATCTACTGAGTTGTTCCTAGAAGCCTTTCGCAGGTTTGTGGCGCGGCGAGGAAGGCCTTGTACAGTATACACGGACAACGGGACCAACTTCACAAGAGCCAGCCGTAATCTTCAAGAAATCAACTGGACAAAGGTCGAGGAATACGGCTCAGTGGAGAAAATTCAATCGATTTTCAACCCTCCCTCAGCAGCTTGGTGGGGAGGATGGTGGGAGAGACTAGTCCGTTCCGTAAAAGAAATTCTACGGAAGGTGTTAAGACAAGCTTTTCTAAACTATGAGGAGCTTACAACGATTTTATGCGACTGCGAGGCTATTATTAATTCCCGCCCAATCACATATATCGCAGAAGAGCCTCACCAACTGATTCCATTATCACCAGCGCTGTTTTTACAAGACACACGCAACAGCGGGATTCCGGATCTAGACGCAATCGCTTCCGCTGAGAAGCTCAATAAAAGAATCAAGTATCGTCAGACATTTCGCGAACATCTACGCCAGAGATTCAGAAGCGAATACTTGGGACAATTATCTCGCAAGAATAATAGACGGAGCCAAGCTTCTCAGACCAACATCGATGTAGGAGACGTCTTACTCATTGGCAGCGATCAGCTGAAACGTTTGGATTGGCCGCTAGGGAAGGTAATTCAGATCTTTCCTGGACAGGACGGGAAGATACGTGTAGCCAAGCTCCAAACAGCCTCTGGAGAATTAGTACGCCCAGTACAGAGGCTTTACTCCCTAAAACTATCAACAGCAGAAGCTAGCGAAGAATCAAGACAGTTCAAAGATCAGTACAAACAATCTTCAAATGCTGGCGAGCCTTCCTCATTATCAGAGGCAAAACGAGTCACGTCTGAAAACGGAGGAATATCACCCGAGAACGAGATCACTGAACAGACTGAAAAGCGGACTCGTAGCGGACGAAGAATAATTACACCCGCAAAATTATTAGACTAATGTTTACACCTCTAGGGGGAGAGGGATGTAGCAAATGGAACCCTCTCATAATTTTCTATTCGCGCGCTTAGTGCGCTTCCACAGACTACCCCTGCTGGACCATAGGTGGCGCTGATCCGAGATGTGGACAGAGGGGGTTACGTGTCGATATAGCCGCCATTAATATTAATATATACTGTTATCCTTTTACACACGAGCAAGTCGTCTATTTGTAATACTCAAGAATATAGATACTCCTTTCCCGATACTCGAGTCTAGATTATTCCGTTGCTTTCCTCTTATCCCCGGTATCAAGAACTCTGTAAATAACAGTAACAATAATATTAAAAAATATATATACAAATATACGTTTATACCCTGACAATTATTAAGTATAATATTATGTATATTAAGTGTTATTATTAAGTATATTATTAATATACTTTATTAATATACTTCAATTATCAATATACTTTAATTTTATTAATTCATTATTAATTAATTATTAAATTATTAAAATTATTATATTGCTTATAACGTGCTCTACTGACATCATATTTTATGAATTTCGCGCGATGCACAACATTTAAATTTATGCTACACATTGTATAGACATTTGACAAACCTCGTACGATCATATTCATTCATTGCACAAGAGAGGGATTCGTATCCTGAACTTGACCGCGTATTTTTAAACTCATCCGAAAAAAAGTGTCGCAACCTCATTGCTATGACTGTACATACATATGTGTTACATTAATAACTCTGACTGCGTTCTATTTCATGCATGATGTGCATAATGCATTATTTATCCTTGTTTAACAATTTATTCCGTGAATAACAAGAATAAAAGCTGCATCATGCGCATCGTGCGTGAAACGGAACGCAGCCTTTGTTTTTAAGTTATATTTATACAGAGTGTTATAAAATAATATTACCTTCACACATGCATAATATTTCTGAACAAATTAAGAAGTTAGATACATTATTTATGGGCAGGCAATGTTATTTAAAATTTTTTAAACATTTATTACACATAACATATAAAAAAATAAAAGCAAGTATTATTTTGTCCTTACACAGAGAGAATTTTAAGTAATCGTGGAACAACATGGTATTTCAAAAAATTTTACTATGCACTTTAGTAAAATTTAATCACATATATTATATAAAGAGCAGAATTCCAAAATGCATTTTGTCCAAAATTATTTTGGTAATCAACGAAATATATTTGAAGAATTTTTTTATTTGGCACATTTTTACGTATAATACACATTCAAATATTTTTTTACAATGTTGGTACATACAATATATGTAAAAATATAAAAAAAAAACACTTTTGTGTGTTTTATGCAACGTTTTGCAAGCGATGATTTATGTTATTCTCATATACCTATAAAATCGATATCAAATAAAAGTATATTTATATGTTTATTCGCATAATATCTATACTTGAATAAATGTTTCTTCAAAGAAATCTATAAAACTATAGCATCTTCCTCTTCTATGAAAAGATATATAAGATATATAGGGTATTCCTGTATACATATTCCTGTATACAAGGTGTCCAATAATGACTGCATCATCTCTCGTGGGCACATAAAGCAGACTGAACTGTTAAAAGTCCTATAAATTTACAATTTTCGCAATAATTAAAGATGTTTAGAAATTAATTAATCCGTTTGAGCTAAATACAAGCGCACGATGAAGTACAATCAACGCAGGGAGATGTTTTATTTCGCCACTGGTACATTATCGTTGCTGTTTGTATAATAAAAAACTGGCGACATTAAAATGGCCCTATATTATACGTTAATCGAGTATAAACTACAAATTAATAGTACATGGTAATATAACGGCAGTATAGGTATTTTATGTCAAAAAATGATTCAATTTGTTATATAAAATAGATTATTGGCAGAATTCATCGACTAGATAAATTACTATTTTTTCTTATCTTATGGTTTTCCTTTGATTATAGTTCTTCTTTTTCTAAGTTGTTGATAAAAGTATTATGCACGAGTTTTGAGTCTTCCGTGTCGCTAATGTGTCCATCCTCGCCGGTATAATGCGACGGATAAATTAAAAGTGGATTTGTAGATAAGATAATCAAATCCCGAGTGGGAAATTGAGCCGCCCACTGTTTCCTATTGAAATATCAAAATGAATATTAAGATTCACCTAATTTATTCTTCCTAAGGATACATTACATAATGTGAAATCGCAACTTTTACAACGTTCGATCGGATTTTATAAGATTTATCGTTAATATATAATTTATACATATATGTATATATTTCCTGAAATTATTCTTTTTGATTCCAATACGAATGTTGATTTTTCCGCGAAATATGAGACACGTATACACTTCCTAAAACTGTGAACATCAATCATTTCACATACTCAGGGTGCGTGTCCGAAAGAATGGGAAGGAATTCGTCAACGGGAATTAATTTCCCGAGAGGCAAAGCATCGATCAATTTCTTCGCTCCGCTTTCCGACAAGATGTAACCAAGAGTCCAGTAACTGTATCCTGCGCGTACCAAGAATGTAGATCCTTCCACTAGATTCTCTGATTTCATCAATTTTTTTCTTCCCATGTATCTAAAATATAATTGTGAAAAAATGTAATGTGCTAATTTTAGACCTGACTGTCTCTCAGAATTAATTTTCATCAAATAAATTTTCTTTCATTGTCTATAAAATTCAAAAGAGCGAGAAAATTATTAAATCAGTTTTACCACTGTTATAATTGTAAGCTGGTACAACAAAGCTTTAATTTTCTTATTTTAATCTGTTTTTTTCTTTGATTTTTCAATATAACCATTACTTTTGTATGCCAGTTTTAAATAAGGTAAATTGTAGAATCGTAGAAAACTGATCAAAATATATAATCGAATTATGAAACAACACACAAAATGATTGGAAAATAATAAATTTTGCTAAATATGACTTACACCAAATCCCATTCAAGTTTGAGATTATACAATTCCGCCAAAACGTAATCGACTTTCTGTCGAAAGAATGGCTCGAAGCGAACATCATCCTCCAACACCATAACGCTTTTATAACCGTGCTCTAGTACCTAATATATATTACGTCAGTAATTAACGATATTTTTTTCCACTTAAAAATGCCTTTTATTACCTTCTGCCATACGATGTAGTGACTCAGAAAACAGCCAATCTCGCCCATCGTCATTGGTCTACTCGCAAAGGAAGATAAATTATTATAGGGATTTTGAGAATTGTAAAAAAAAGTAGTACAAACGATTTTATACTTAAAGCAAATCTGACAGATCATGTATCATTAACGAACAATCTGGCTGTCTGAAATTTTTCTTTTTAAGTTTGAATTTAATTGATTAAATAAAATTTTTTCACGAGTCTATTTTCACCTTTTATGATAAGGATCTGAATATTCGGACATCGGTATTACGCCCCATTTCTTTAGGGAACTCTCGTTCAAAGTCCTGAAATGATAAAAGAGAATAATGAGATGAGATTAAATAAATTAGTACAAATTGACGAAAAATACATGATAATGACAACTTCCTGGAAAAGATATAACCGGAAAATAAGATAATTTCATTAAGACAATCTAAAGTATATCATTACTTCATAGTTAAACGATGAAACGTTAACTAGAATAGCTAATATATTGATGCCCATATAACTCATATAGGCTGCGGTCCACTTGACGCTACAAACGCTACAAAGCATTTGGAGCACCGATTGGCTGGTCCACTTGACGCTTCCAGTAATGCCTATGACGTTATCATTACGTCATCGTTTTCGCTCCCACTTCCGCTCCAAAAATGTCTCATCTCGAGAAATGGGTTAGCCAAAGCATTGTAAGCATTTGGCGGGAAATGTGAATCAAAAGTGAAGATAAGTTGTAAAATGTATATTAAAATGCCACAATTAGAAGTTACTGACACGGAAACAAAAAGTGTTTATATATTTAATTTGAATGATGAAGAATTTGCTCGCTTCAAAAGGTGAATAATCTTTAAGTATCATTCGTTTTATGCTTCTGAATATATGTGCAAAGGAGGAAACGTCTTGAAATTTGTATTAGTTCTGTATATAAATTCGTAAGATTTTTTGACAAATTAAAACATTCGTAAAAATACGTTGCAACAACATTGCTTATTTAAAATAATTTTGTTTTCAACAACTTTGTTTCAACATTCAACGAAATTAACGGAAATCCACATGGCGCTACAAATACTACAACCCTGTATGTCTATTCTCTAATTTTGTAAAGACGATGTCATTATCGTTACGTAGCGACGATTGTTGCTTGCGCTGACGATGCTATAACGACGAAGCTATTCTGTAACACAGGCTAACGATATCGATACAAAGTACGATGTATCCAGCCAATGAAATCTCCTATTTTTCTTGATGAGTTTAGGAACGTTAAATAACAAGGTTAGATGCTCGAGAATCTTTTGGGGCAATAGCAAACAAACATCATTCGCTCGCGAGCAGTCGAACTGTGTGGATCACTGCGCTTTCTGCTCTCCCGTCCGTGCTTTCCTAGTCTTGGTTCATCTTTTAACCTTTCTGAGATTCCTTGAAGAGGGTTCTCTCTCTCCATAAAAGTGAATACATTCAGATTTGCCTGTCTGCTGTCATATCTCGACATTCGTGTGATAATCCGAACCTGCAATGCAGGTCGGTGCCCCTGGCCCGCCGGACCCCGGCTCGAGGTCGATTACAAAACGTTTCTCGACATCTTTAGAGAACTTCGATAGTTTTTTCGAGCGCGTGAATAACGATAATATAAATGATTCGAGCGCGAATTTGCTTTCTGAGGAGTACGTCTCTGGTCGTGAGTTTCTGTAAAAATCCCTCATCTGCTGCATCATCATTAACAAGCGGCGTGGAATCTCACGATCATAAGTAAATACAAGCCTATCATAAGTAAAAAGAAAACGAAGAAGGGCGGTAGCACACCATATTCACATGTCCTCCCCCCTTAGCCTCTGCATCTAAAACGCGGTCTTCGGCTTCAGATGACTTAATTTCGAGTTCCGATGTCTCTTCTAGACGAGAGAACGAAGCCATGGATACCGGCGTCGATTCCGACGGGGATGGCACGGTGGCTTCGCGACGCTCGGTGCGCGCGATCCTCCCTCCCTCCTCGTCTGATTCTCCGGTCCTTGGAGACCCGCCGGGGACTTCCTCTTCTGTTTGCAATACATCTCCCTCTAACAAACGTCCCCGTGTGGACGACGAGGATGCGGCGGCCGGGAAGTCCCCGACAAAGGCCTCACATGCGGCCCCACCTTCGCGCATCTTAAATCCTAACGACGTGAGCATAACCTACGAGAAGGGGGATCTTTTTCCCTTCATCATCTTTGTTAAATGTGCCGTCGTGGGTGGCGACGGGGACTCTCGACTCAACCCGGTTGCGGTCGCGCGAGTAATGATGCGTATCGCTAACGATAAAATCTTGGAGGTTAAGTCATCTGGCCGCAGCAGAGTAGCTGTGCACCTTTGTGATCGAGCAGCTGCAAACGATGCCCTCACGCATTCATTGCTCAAAGATAATGGCTTAAAAGCCTTTATTCCTGCTTTTCGGGTTATGCGCACCGGCGTGATAAGGGATGTACCTCTGGATATCTCAACGACATTATCAACTGCTTCATCTCGTCATGTAAAATCATCTCAGTTAAACGTCTGAACATCAGAATACGCAAGGAGGGTGAATTGATCACCTCACCTTCACGTACGGTCATGATTAAATTTCGTGGTCATTCCTTGCCTCGGTTGTCTTTTTACATGTCAGCTTTCCTGTTTTTCCCTATTTTCCGAGAGTACTCATGTGCTTTTCTTGTTTGCGCTACGGACATGTCAGTGCCGACTGTAAGGACAAACCGCGCTGCATACGTTGCGGTAACTCTAAACATTTAACCCCTGATGAGTGCCCTAGATTGCACTCTCCTCCTTTGTGCTGCAACTGCGGGGGGGAACACCTGCCGTCCTCAGGTGTGTCCCGCTTACGTGCGACAAAAACAAATTTACGCCTACGCGGCGATTGAAAACGTTTCTTATTCTGAGGCACGCCTCAAATTTGGGACCACCTCTCCTCCGACTTCCCCTCTCCCAACCCCTTCCATCACAAGGAGTTTCCATTGCTCTCTAAACCCACTGGCCCTCCCCGTATCCTTGTCGACTACCGCAACATTTCTTTTCAGGACACCATCGAGAATACTCCCGATTTTGCAGACATGCGACAGAACACTTCTCGCTCATACGCTGACACAGCACGATCAGCTCCTCCAACCAAGCATGCTTATCCGCATCCATTCCGTGACAATGACTCACGTGAACACCCGGCAACTCTTTTTCGCAACTCAATCATCATACTGTTAATGACGGTCGATCATCGAACCGTCACACTCCGAATTCTTATACCAAACTTCGTGAAATTCACAACTCTCTTCTCTACGTACCCAACGGCAGACTTCCCGGTCCTGTCCCCTTTCATCCCCCTCCTTCCAATCCTTCTATCCCCTCATCCGCACCTCCCGACCTCCCGACCTCCCCCCTTCCTCTCACTCCTCCCCTCCCATCATCCCCTCCTCTTCTTCCTATTCTCCACACATATTATACACGTAATTATCTCGTTTCTTCTACAATTCCTACGTAATATCCCATTGTCAGGATTGAATACGAATTCTGACGTCAGAATTCTAACTCTATGATAGCCTTCACCTCCTCTTAACTTCTATCAACGCATAATGAGTTATTTGCAAGCTCCACGGATTCTTTACTGGAATTGCCGCGGCACTCTTGGTAAAAAGGTCCAAATCGAAAAACTGTCTGAAACTTTTAATATCTTATTTCTTGCGGAAACTTGTGTCAATGCTGACCATGACTTCTGGATACGCGGTTTCGATTGCCTCCGCATAGACGCCAATTTGGTAGATGTTAGGGGTATGATCGCCCTTAGTCGTAACCCTATTATTTACTCCCCTCTCGATCTCTCATCTATAATTGATAACTCCTTTGAAGCTCTAAGCATTAAGATCTCTTTTAACAATTCACACCTTTTTTTGATCGGTATCTACAGACAATGTACCGGCTTCTAACTTCGCTATCTCGTCTCTCACCTCTTTTGTCGCCGATCATCACTTTTCCATTCTTCTTGGTGATTTCAATGCACATCACCCGATGTGGGGTGGCACTCGTCCGAATGGTGCTGATCGTGCTCTCGGTAAATGCATCGACGATCATCATCTTGTGGTTCTCAATCCCCCCTCTTCTCCCACATATATCTCTTTTTCCCCTTACTATACTTCGACCATTGATCTCATTATCGCATCCCCGCAAATATCCTCCCTTTGTGAAGCTCATGTGCTTCCCGATCTCCACGGGAGCTATCATCACCCTCTCGAGATCCGCGTTAACTGCTTAGTTAAAACATCCTCCGTTTTCACTTATAAGATCAATCTTTCCAAAACTCAATGGGACGAGGTTAAACAATATCTTGTTAATAACTCTAATGCTATTTCTCGAACTGTTAACTCTATTCCCTCGGATGATCCTATCTCTCAATATAACATTTTTCTTAAATTCACCTCCGTCAGCTACGAGAAGATTTCTCCCCCTAAATCCCCTGTTAATACTCAATCCTCTCGCTCAGCTTCCTCCTTCAGGGGACCCCCTCCGGCCCCCTGGTGGACACCTGATTGTTCTAAGGCGATTAGGAACCGCGGTCTTGCGCTCAGGGACTTTAAGCAAAATCCTTCTCTAGATAATTACATATACTATCGCTCAGTGGTTTCTCAAAGCCGCAAGATTTTTCGTAGAGCCAAGCGCAAAGGCTGGAAAGACTTTTGCGCCTCCCTTGACAGCAAGACCCCCACTACTGAAATTTGGCGCATGCTTAAGCGATTTCGAAACCGCCGTCTCATTCCGGCCAACTCCAACTCTCTTAACAAATATACAGAAAACTCCGAAGCGATTCAAGACGCTATCAACAAGCTCTGCCCTCCTTCCTGCTCTCCCCCTTCACCTGTGATCCCTTCGCTTTACCAAGGCTTCCTCTCATGGCTTGATTCTCCTTTTATTAACGAGCTCTATTCGGCACTTCAATCTGTTAAACCTTCCTCCAGTCCGGGCCTTGATAGGATCGACTATCGTCTTATCAAGGCTCTACCCGCTGAACTTTTACATTGTCTCCTTAATATCTTCAACAATCTCTTTCGTTGTGCAGTTTTTCCTAGCCAATGGTCCCACTCTCTTGTCCATCTAATTCCCAAACCGAATAGTAGCGGGGTTCGTCTGATCTCCCTCACATCTTGCTTACTAAAAATCATGGAGAAAATAATTCTTAATCGTTTCTACTGGCTTATCGAATCTCCTCTTTCCGAACTTTTACCGAATAATCAATTTGGATTTCGCAAATTCAGATCCTGTCAGGACAACCTTACAGCATTGATCGCTAGTATACACTCT